GATTTTGCCTGGCTTCTCCCGTCTTCTAGTAGCCCATAAATCAAAATTTTCGGTTTTGGCACTTTTAAAGGCAAGAACCAGCAGAGGGAGGGGGGCCGGCCAGTGGGTTACGGTGCGGCAGGGACAGCCCTTTAGTACTCCTCCTGCTCTGCTGCTGCTGTCCATGACGGATGATTGGATTTTATGTTGATTACGAAAATGTCTCTAACTCTATGTGTGTCTGCACGAGTCGAATTTTTTGGCTTTGGCTTTGGCTTTGGCTTTGGCTTTGGCTTTCACAGAGCAGAGCTCCCTCCGCCCTGCCACCCAAAAAAAGTGTATTCCAGAGGGTAGTACGAGGGGCGGTTTGTGAGTCACGGATTCGCACTGCAAAAATATAGTTCTACTCAGGATATTGCAGAGACCCAAGAGATCTAAAATATTACAAAAATAATAAATAGATTTCAAGTGCTTTGAAAAGAATTTTCATGTATCACCCATTCGACTCCCTCTCGCTGTCTCCAGCCCCGTCTGTTGCCCTGATCATGCCTTCTCGTATTGCCCCCCAGCCGGGATCTATCGCTTGGAGACTTCCCTTATTATTGGCCATATTTTAATGCTCTCCGCTGTCCGTATCTGTCGACCGTCCGTCGGCCAACCCGGCTAGAGATTTGTCGTAGTCCATTTTTGATTTATTTATGTGTTTATTTGCCATGTTTTTGGCTTTGCGTCTGTGATTACTCATAGCCCCGGCCCCGGCCCCGGCCCCAGCTACGGCTACGGCTACGGCTACGGCTACGGCTCCGGCCATGGATACGGATACTCAATAGAGGGAATGGATATGGGCTCGGGCTCTGGCACCGGAGTAGTGATGAAATTCGATTTGCATATTATTTTATTTGCATTTTACATAATAATTTAATTTTATTAGTTTTGCTGCATCATCATCGGCCTCGTCATCGGCTCAAGTTGCCAATCCTAATGGCTCTAATGGCACCTTGGTGGGGCACCGCATTCCCTTCTGCCCCTCCTCCTCCTCCTCCGACTCCTCCATTGATTGTGTATTTTGAGGTCATCGTACTGGAATTCGTCGTCATCTCGGGACGGTCGCTTTTTTGGTCAGGTTCGCTCTTGCCGGGTGGCCTAATGCATTGCATGCCCTATTGGGGACACTTAGTGCGCGCCACGCCCCCTGCAAACGCCCACTATGTAGTACATACATATATATATATATGTGGGGGGTTGGGGGCGCTACATAGCATATATTTTGTAGTTAAATTTGTGCGCTTCCCTTTTTTTTTCTTTCTTTTTGGGCATTTATTTTCATGGTTTACTTGTAGCATATTTCGCTGGCCGCCACATTCATTTAACTTTGTGGTGCATGGGAGTGCTGGGGGGAGGGGGGGGTGTTGCAGGGATTGGCCGACAATTGCCGCAGTCTTTGGAGAGTCTTTCCCAGCGCAACGATGGCCAGTCGTAAATTAGTTGCGAATGGCAGCGCAGTAACACCATCACACCCTGAAAAACACCCGAATAACGCCAACAACAACACCAACACCAAAACTTTACAGAGCGAGAAAAGTTCACAAAGTCGAATCGCGTGGCATGCGGTGGAAGGGGAAAAAATCAAAAGTTTAGTTGGAACTTAAACTACAATTCTTATCAGATATTGGCCGAGAAATGTATGTGACATTTGTAGATTGGTGGCACATCTTTAGCACTTTGAAATAGGGCTAGATCACCATACCCAAGCCAACACCAATAGCTACTCCAACGTAACTTTCTCAATAGGCGCGAAAAATAAAATAATACTCGTATGAACTAATGTTAAAGCCAATTAAAACTTCAACAACAGCTACAATTCCACAAGTAAAGTCTCAACAACACAACAACAGTCCAAATTCCACAAAAAAAGTTTCAACAACAGCTACAATTCCACAAAAAAGTCTAAAAAACACAACAGCAGCCACAATACTATAAGAAAAGCCTCAACAACACAACAATTGCATGAAAGACAATTTGCAGCCAGGAATAATTACACAAACAATATTCCATTCCACCCATGACGAACATTTAAACTTCAACAACAACAAAATCTCCAACCAGTGTGGGGGGGAATGGGTGTAAGAAGCTACTCCAACTTAACATCCTCAATAGTCGCCAAAAATAAAATACTACCCGTATGAACTAATGTTAAAGCCAATTACAACCTCAACAACAGCCACAATTCTACAAGAAAAGTCTGAACAACACAACAATTGCATGAAAGACAATTTGCAGCCACGAAAATGTACACAAACAATATTCCATTCCACCCGTGACGAACATTTAAACTTCAACAACAACAAAAAACTCCAACCAGTGTGGGGGGATGGGTGCAAGAAAAATGCCAAAAGTTGAATCGAGGGCGGAATCAAAAAGAGGAAAAGTCAAGTAGAAGGAGAAGTACGAGTATTAAATGCACACAAAACAACAACAACAACAATTTTTCACACATTCCAACAGCTAACTGTGGTAACTGCGGAACCGCCGCTCCCCCCAGTCAGTCATCTGCCATTCCAATCTGAATGCGAACACCCAACAAAAGCTCTAAGTATTTAAGCTAGTTTGAATTTGAAATGACTTGCAGTTGACCCACCGCCCCGAGCCACCGACCCAACAACCCAGAAAACCAGAGCAAACCCCAGCCCCGAAACCAGAAGCAGAACCAGAACAAACACCAGCCCGAGCCTGAGCCAGAGCCCGAGCCCGAGACCAGACCAAAATGGAACCCTAACGTTCAATGCAATTTGGTTTCCTTTTGCTGTTGCTGTTGCTGTTGCCGCTGCTGCCGTTACCAATTATTTGCGCTGTTATCGCGACCTTCTTGTGCTGACCTCAATTTGGCAAATAAGGTGCTCTGCCGGGTGCTGGTGCTCCTTCTGAGGAGCCTCGAGCCTCGAACCTCGAATCTCCGAATAGGAGGGAGCTTGTTGATTGCCTCCAAGTCTGATTGAAGAGCAAGGTGAGGCACGATATGCCAGGGCAGAGGCAGAGGCAGCACGACGGCCTGTCTCTGACAATTTCTCACAGTGTTTGACACAGGGCGGGACAAGGGTGCAGATAGAGGTCCTTGGGCAGGCAGGTTTCTCTTTCACTTTTAATGGCAACTGGCATAATGAGCTGCAAATAGGAGTGAGGGCCCGACGACCCGACCACGGGTAAAAGTATGTGTGCCATGTGCCATGTGCCATGTGCCATGTGCCACAATGGTGCTAGACTCGGGCTCTGCATTTGTTTTGGCCACTTGGGACACGGTGCCCCGCCGCATCCCATCACACCCAATGCCCTGCTCCCCTCATCTACTCTTCTGGGCCAGCATTGACACAATAAAACATTTGTTGTCGTTGCATTTATTGACGCATTTGCTCTTTTGCTTATTTTTAATGTTTTCCATGCCCTATCTAGGGGTAGACCCAACATTCTGTTACTCTAAAATCTCGTGTAACGGTCTTTTTGGTTATATTTCTCCCAAAACCGCACCACCATTTAGGAACCCAATTTTAAAAAATTCCGCTCATCCGAAAGTGCTGATTGAGGCCTTGGACAAAGAATTTCCACATTTGTATGCGCTCAAATTCAAAAACGAGTCAAAAGGTTTCTTGTTGAGACACCAACACAAGCATTGAACCCATTGAACGACATTCAAAGGAGTTAATAAGGGTCTTTGGGTGTTTTCTTTTGGTTCTTGAGAAACATATCTGCATTCTTGAAATCTCCTTTAAAATGTATTCTTTTCCCTTGTACCCTAAAGTGTATTTGCAGCTTCGTCCTATTAAATCCATAATATCCTTTCAGCCCGCGACAAAATAAAATGTAATTCCTCCTTTAGGCCCAGTCCCCAGTCCCCACAAACCCACTGCCAGACCCAGTAACAAAACCCCAGTCCGGAGCAAACATGCGACAATTCAATGCTGACAACGAAACCAACAAATTCCCCAACAAAATATGCAAATCGTAGTTTTTAGTTGGGCGAGGTCAGGCCACTGGTGAATGCGGGGCTGGCGGCTGGGCTGTTGGGGGTTTGGGGCGGCAGGCTATTGGCCAAATTGAAGTCAAGTGCAATTGCATTCCCCGCTCATCGTAAATAATTTAAATGTGTGAAAAAAAAAACCCATTTTTTGTGTCGCTTCGTTCCATTTTTCGATGTGGCAACAATAATTACAGTCACAAAAATTGGATTATACTTTTAATTGTATTTCAATGTAACATTCAATTACGCTTTTTATCTGTACTTTCGATTTTGCTATATTTTTCAAATACATACATATTTATTTTGATTATTTTCCATACCACTGTTTTGGGCCTGTTTTTGGTGTCAAAAGGTATGCTCTGGATTTGGGTTTTGGTAAGACTTTCAGTATGGTATCGTTTCAAAAGAACAGGAGAGGAAAGAGACGATTTTTTATTGTATTTAGGTCCAGTTTCTCTTGAACTATAATGGAATATTATTGCTATGGAAATTAGTATTCTATTTCTGATGGTTTAAAAATAACGCTTCCTGGAATTTGCCACATATTCAAAAACTGAAGCGCCGATATTGGAACAAAAATGTTGGCTGTGACTGTACATCTAATACATCTTTATAAGGAATACCCCTGATACAAGCCTACAACAAGCCTTTGTTATGAAGACTTTTACAATAAAATTAATAATCTGTTCCTTCTTACAATCCACACGTGCTATTCTTTCCATTCATTCCACATATCATAAGCCCAACAAAAAATTCTATCACCTTTCACAGGATTTTAGAATCGTGCCTGAAGATACAACCACCAAAAGTTGTAGTTTTCTAGAATTTTTCACTATTTTTTCAGAGGGACAAAATTCCTTTTGGCCTCCTTTCTGTGAGGTGAGCATCCCCAGTGGTAAAAGAAGTCTCTCGCTGAACAAAGGACTTTTTTTCCAAACCTCAAATCGGCCCCAAGATATGCCATAAGATCCTTTCCCTTAAAGGTCCTATAAAATTCTTTATGGTATGGATATTTTTATTGATACGATTTTGTTACATTTTATGGTGTTTTTTTTTAAAACAATTTTGGTTTTTGTTGGCAGAAATTTCCAATTCCAAGGCTTTGCCGAGCTGTGGGCTAAAGGGGGCTCCCAGGCTTGCGTCTCGCTCAGCCGAAGCCAGGGGGTCAAATGCCATTTACTGAAAACAGATCAGTACCTGGCTTTTGAGCCCCTGGATCAACAGAGCTGAGCATATTCCTACTGGAGTCCCTCGAGGCCTTGTTTTCGTGCTCGGTGGGATGGGACAGCGATAGGTTGGTGGACGAGATCTGTGGCGAGCTGATGACGCTCGAGCGATTGTCCTGCCTGGAGCGTATACGTTTGCTGGCCACCAGCTGCGACATCTTGCGCAGGGTGATGTAGTCCTTGTTGAGCATGCGGCACAGCTCGACGAAGGTGCAGAGCCGCGGGTTCTGCAGCTCCGCGGCCAGCATGTAGGCTTCGTTGAGGACCTCCGTTTGGCGCTCGTACTTGTGCAGAACCGCGTGCGACTTGGCCATCAGCATCGTGCTGAGGAACTGCCAGATTTTGCTGTTGCACCGCTTGGACTCCTCGATGGCCTGCTGGGCATACGACAGGCATTGCACGAAATGATTCTGCTGCACATGATAGTCGGCCATCTCGTGCAGCAAATAGGTGCGCTCAATGGGCAGCTTGGCGAAGAACAGACGCTGCTCCAGGTGCTGCAGGTTTCTGCAAAAGGAGTAGCCCTTCGGTACAGGCATGATCAAAGGAAAGCGAATCACCCATTACTCACAGGGGCGACTTCGGTCTGTCATGCAGTGGATAGGAGTACGTGGAACGATCCCCGAACACATAGACGGACCGTTCGAGCGGCTTGATCGCCTGTATGTTCAGCATCAGGCACATGGAGTTCTTGTCATACGGCGTGACCCGTGTGGTCGGCAGGCGATAGCTCTCGCACAGGCTCAGGGCCAAATGGTTGTACACCTCGTTCGTGAACTCCACCTTCCAAGGCATCACGCGGTTCGTTTTGACGGTCACATAGTTGGCCATCACATCCTCCACGAACTTCCGCAGGCGCTGAAAAGGGAAAAAGGGTTACGGGTTACGGGCTACTGGGCATCCAAATGAATGCAGATGCCACACTTACGTCCGGATCGTCGTGCTGCTTTAGAACGCGGATCGTCTGAAGTATGCTGTGCATGTTCCGGTGGGTCTGGTACTGGATGCGGAACAGGTTCTCCTCGCGGAAGCGCTGCGACAAGTTGTGCCCGCGACGCATCTCGTTGTACATCGGACTGCGGGAGTGCAGCATCCGGGTGAAGGTCTTTATGCGCTGGAACGAGTTGTCCAGGTACTTTCTCCGCTCCTCCGATGTGCCGAAGTAATGGTCGAGCAGGAGATTGGGGTTCTGGCGAAGCGTCTTGAGAAAGATGAAGTCGGTCCAGGCGCGATTCAAATAGTTCTGGTAAAAGATTTTTGTCTTGCGACTGCGCCGGGCATGCTCCAGGGGCGAGAGGTTCTCCTTCTCCTCCTCCTGAACGCTCTGGACATCGCACTGGTTCGATTCCCTGAGGATCTTCCAGTGCGGCCGCTTGTCCGGCGGCAACAGCTCGCGCCGCTTCAGCTCATAGAAGGACCCCAGGCTGCTCGAATTCTCCATGAAGAAATTTCCCAGGGTGTGGCCCATGCTGTCCTTGAAGTTCTCGTTGACAACCATCAGGCGCTTCTCGAACGGCTCCACGGAGGTGCCCACATGGCGGCGCACGTTGTCGCTGAGCAACATCTTGTTCGACTCAAAGCGATTGAGGTCGTACAGGGCATCCGCCATCTCCCGCTGCGAGTGCACATCGCCCGGCCCCAGCACCTGGGCCGCCCTTGTGCTGTCCTCCAGGGCCGCCTCGGGCCGTGCCACAGACCGATTGAACTTGCTCCTCAGCTGCAGGGTCCTGCAGTCGTGCCCATGGTGGTCCTCGATGCACTTGTCGAAGTACTTCTGTGCGGCCGCGTTCATCCGTGCATTGGCAAAGACACTGCCCCAGCTACGGTGGATGTTCCGTCGCTGCTCCTCCGGCCAGTCGAACACCTCCCAGGGCTTCACCTGTTCCAAGAGCTTGCCCGCGGGCGCCGCCACCGCTGGCTCCATCTTGATGGTCACCGGATTTTTCATTGCAATGGTCACAAAAGTAAAAACAACAAAAAAAAACAACTAAAACTAACTACAAATAAAAAAAGAAAACCTAAAAAGTTTAAAAAGATTTAAACGATTTTGCTTAACGTAATGCTAGAAAGAAAGTGACACGAAAGGCGTGCCGGCGACAGGTCAGCAGTTCCAAAGGCAAGAGTTGATGGGCAACAGACCATGGACACTCCGACTCGCAGCAGTCCTTCGCACACTCCGTGGACTGGAGGAGTCTGTGCTTAGGGCAGGTGGCCACGATTGCAGCGAGAACCTCGATGTGCAGGGGAGATCCATTGTCTTTGAACAAGACCCGAAGCTGACTTGAAATCCATTCCACATTCATGGAATAGCCTATAAAAACGAATCATTAAACTCGAATGCAAATGACAGACATTCCTTTGGAAGACAGAGGCCAAAGGTTACACCAGCCAACATATCGAAGCATTAGTACAATATTTATCCGAAATATATGTATATTATTACCCGATTTCCACGATATAAAATTCTAGTTAGGCCATGAAACAAATGTAAAACTTATGTACAACTCCAACACATCTCAGAGAGGCATCACTTCGGCTGGAAGGGAGCCCAGCTAGGGCCAAATCATGCACATTCCGGAGTGGAACTAGGTCTTCTGGAAGGGATCCTTGGCAATGTACTTGTCCAGTCGCTGCTCGCCATCAGGCTCCACCTGGGAGAGCTGCGAGAATCCCTCCTCGTCGACAAAGCAGATCTCATGACCATCGGGATCGGCCAGGATTAGCACTGACACGGTGGCCTTGCCGGGCGTTTCCAGGGTGATAAGCGACTTCAGGATCGTGCCGCCGGCTGCCTTGACTGCTTCGTACAGCGGCGGTTGCGTCGCCGAGGGAACAGCAAAGGCGATACGTCCGTAGGCCTTCGCCCGGTTAATGGGATCCGGAATCTGGGTGAGCTGCAGCGACGCCTGCTTGCCGCCGTAGCTCAGCCGCACGGACTGCTTGTTCTCCGCCAGCGGTTGCATCCGCAGCAGCTGTTCCCAGTACTGGCGCGAGGCCGCAAGATTGCTCACGTGCAGCTCCACCGACTGCACGGGATCGGCGTCGGCCGTCGGCGCTGCCTGGTCGATCACAAGGAACTTGTAGCCGTCGGGCGAGGTGAGCAGACAGCCCCCCTCCGTCTTGTCGATGGGGTACGAGTGCTGTGCGGCGCGTGGCAATATTTCGGTGGAGTGGATGGTGACTCCGCCAAAATCGTTACCTGTGGTAAGATTGTCGATTACAGAGCGCTGGCACAATGACGGCAAAAATTGATTGCTACTGATTGTTACTGCCCCTTACCCATTTCGTAGCTGGTCACGCCGTAGTTGTATGTCAGCTCGATGACAAAATGGGAGCTCTCCGGACCGTAGCCGACCATGGTCTTGCTCCACCGATTGTCATAAGGTCTGCAAGGGATTTGGGGAAGGACAACGTTTTCTCTGATTCTTGTTGCCAGTCGCCAGCGACTTACCCATTGCATTCGGCATCGCAACCTTCTTTAAATTCCTCGTGACGCAAAACCTGTTTGGCCAAGACAGACAGAGACAGCATTAGTTGTCGGGAAAAATTACAGAGTCATTACCGCTATCTGGCATCTGGGCTTTTAATTAGTCAGTCAGCAGCCACTGATTGCCAATTGCGTTGTTCAGATAAAAAAAACCTTGTACCCCACAGCGATAACGTTGGTTGGTCCGAAGATCCTATTCACAAATCATAAGAAAAATACCCACCTTCATTCCCAGGATGCGGCGGAAGAAGAAGGCATTCTTGGCCCGATCTCCGATCTTGAACACATAGTGCAGGGCACGTCCCGGTACTGCTGCCATTATTGCCCTTTAAGTTGAGTTGAGTTTCGAAATTTAGAAATGAAAATGAAAATTTTTTGGCACCGGTTTGTTGTTCTGCGGCAGGCAGAAGATTTCGATACAAAATTTTCGATTACAAAATATACTGTTCGACCCTAAGAAATATACGGAAATATACTGATAAAAAAAATTTACTTAACCCACTTGAGCCCCATCTATTTTAACAGGCGAGCATATGGAGTTAAGCCGCGGAAATTTAAACTGTTTCTTAAATTCCTCTTGTTACTCCATCCTATCCTTATAAAACCCCAACAAAGGCTCAAACGATAGCTGCCCCATTTTCCTGGCGTGTATTTTAACACCCACTGGTCGAAAATGGTCTAATCGTTCGCTGTCCATGATCGAATTTTGGTTTTTAAAAGTTTGCTACCTCCAAAAATATAATTGTATTCACTAAATGAATACATATTCTGCAGGATTGTCTACTTTTAGTACTCCCATTAATTTGGGTTTGCTTTATAAAATATGAAACAAAAAAAGGACAAACATTTCATGGAAAACAAACATGTTAATCGATACTGTCCGGCATCTTAGCACGGCGTCGCTGTTTTGCCTGCTTGGAACGCTTGCCGTCTCCACCACCATCGTTACGATCTTGTTCCTGTTTTTGACCGTCCTTGATCATGACAGTGGGACCAATGTTCTGCTCCAATTTCTCCACGGAGTTGCATTGTCCGTCACCACCTCCATCGTTACGAGCAACACGTTGCTTCTGGCCGGCCTTGACCATGGCTGTTTTCTTATCTGGGAGCTTGATTTTCTCCATGACTTGCTTATCGCCGTCCTCAATCATGGAATTGGGACTGTCGCCAATGTCCCGCTCGAAGTGCACCATCGACTTAAGCTTGAACTGGAACAATGAAGAATCAATGTGGCTGTCCAAGAGTGAAGAATGAATCACTTACCTGCAGGTCGTTGGCGAACTCGTGATCGGACTTCGACTCGCGATTCTTTTTGCCTTCATTCACGTTACTCTCAACGTATTTCATCTCGCTGCGCACCTTGCGAACGTCCAAATGGCTGAACTCCATTGGGTCCATTGCCTGGGAACGGCTATCGGTATCCTCTGATTCATCATACGGACGCAGCGTGGTCGCGTCGCTGCGTGGACTCAACTCCGGGGTGGTCACGGAGCTGTTCATCAGTGTCGGGCGATAAGTCGAAGAGCTGTGAAATACACCAGTAAAGGATACACCATACACAGAGGGCAACAGCACAACAAAAAACATACTCCGAGCGGTATTCTTCTTCCATCTCCAGATATTCGTTGGTCTGGCGATATGTCGATGACCTGCAAATCAGACCAATGAGAGATTTACTAAGCACAGAAAGGTACAGCAGACAGAAACATACTCTGACACGTCTTCTTCCATCTCCAGATATTCGTTGGTCTTGCGCGTCTGGCTATATGTTGGCGACCTGTGGATCAGACCAATGAGGGTTATACTATGCACAGAAAGGTACAGCAGGCAAACACATACTCCGGGACGTCTTCTTCCATCTCCAGATATTCGTTGGTCTTGCGCATCTGGCGATATTTCGTCGACCTGTGGATCAGACCAAGGAGGGTTATACTGTGCACAGAAAAGTACAGCAGACGGAAACATACTCTGGCACGTCTTCTTCCATCTCCAGATATTCGTTGGTCTTGCGCATCTGGCGATATTTCGACGACCTGTGGATCAGACCAAGGAGGGTTATACTGTGCACAGAAAAGTACAGCAGACGGAAACATACTCTGGCACGTCTTCTTCCATCTCAAGATATTCCTTTGTCTTGCGCATCTGGCGATATTTCGTCGACCTGTGGATCAGACCAAGGAGGGTTATACTGTGCACAGAAAGGTACAGCAGGCAAAAACATACTCCGGGACGACTTCCTTCATTTCCATATGTCCCTTGGTCTTGCGCATCTGGCGATATGTTGGCGACCTGTGGATCAGACGAATGAGGGTTATACAATTCACAGAAAAGTACAGCAGGCAAAAACATACTCCGGGACGTCTTCTTCCATCTCCAGATATTCGTTGGTCTTGCGCATCTGGCGATATTTCGTCGACCTGTGGATCAGACCAAGGAGGGTTATACTGTGCACAGAAAAGTACAGCAGACGGAAACATACTCTGGCACGTCTTCTTCCATCTCAAGATATTCCTTAGTCTTGCGCATCTGGCGATATTTCGACGACCTGTGGATCAGACCAAGGAGGGTTATACTGTGCACAGAAAGGTACAGCAGGCAAAAACATACTCCGGGACGACTTCCTTCATTTCCATATGTCCCTTGGTCTTGCGCATCTGGCGATATGTTGGCGACCTGTGGATCAGACGAATGAGGGTTATACAATTCACAGAAAAGTACAGCAGGCAAAAACATACTCCGGGACGTCTTCTTCCATCTCCAGATATTCGTTGGTCTTGCGCATCTGGCGATATTTCGTCGACCTGTGGATCAGACCAAGGAGGGTTATACTGTGCACAGAAAAGTACAGCAGACGGAAACATACTCTGGCACGTCTTCTTCCATCTCAAGATATTCCTTGGTCTTGCGCATCTGGCGATATTTCGTCGACCTGTGGATCAGACCAAGGAGGGTTATACTGTGCACAGAAAAGTACAGCAGACGGAAACATACTCTGGCACGTCTTCTTCCATCTCAAGATATTCCTTGGTCTTGCGCATCTGGCGATATTTCGTTGACCTGTGGATCAGACCAAGGAGGGTTATACTGTGCACAGAAAAGTACAGCAGACGGAAACATACTCTGGCACGTCTTCTTCCATCTCCAAACATTCGTTGGTCTTGCGCATCTGGCGATATTTCGTCGACCTGTGGATCAGACCAAGGAGGGTTATACTGTGCACAGAAAAGTACAGCAGACGGAAACATACTCTGGCACGTCTTCTTCCATCTCAAGATATTCCTTGGTCTTGCGCATCTGGCGATATTTCGTCGACCTGTGGATCAGACCAAGGAGGGTTATACTGTGCACAGAAAAGTACAGCAGACGGAAACATACTCTGGCACGTCTTCTTCCATCTCAAGATATTCCTTAGTCTTGCGCATCTGGCGATATTTCGACGACCTGTGGATCAGACCAAGGAGGGTTATACTGTGCACAGAAAGGTACAGCAGGCAAAAACATACTCCGGGACGACTTCCTTCATTTCCATATGTCCCTTGGTCTTGCGCATCTGGCGATATGTTGGCGACCTGTGGATCAGACGAATGAGGGTTATACAATTCACAGAAAAGTACAGCAGGCAAAAACATACTCCGGGACGTCTTCTTCCATCTCCAGATATTCGTTGGTCTTGCGCATCTGGCGATATTTCGTCGACCTGTGGATCAGACCAAGGAGGGTTATACTGTGCACAGAAAAGTACAGCAGACGGAAACATACTCTGGCACGTCTTCTTCCATCTCAAGATATTCCTTGGTCTTGCGCTTCTGGCGATATGTTGGCGACCTGTGGATCAGACGAATGAGGGTTATACAATTCACAGAAAAGTACAGCAGGCAAAAACATACTCCGGGACGTCTTCTTCCATCTCCAGATATTCGTTGGTCTTGCGCATCTGGCGATATTTCGTCGACCTGTGGATCAGACCAAGGAGGGTTATACTGTGCACAGAAAAGTACAGCAGACGGAAACATACTCTGGCACGTCTTCTTCCATCTCAAGATATTCCTTGGTCTTGCGCATCTGGCGATATTTCGTCGACCTGTGGATCAGACCAAGGAGGGTTATACTGTGCACAGAAAGGTACAGCAGGCAAAAACATACTCCGGGACGTCTTCTTCCACCTCCAGATATTCGTTGGTCTTGCGCATCTGGCGATATGTTGGCGACCTGTGGATCAGACCAATGAGGGTTTTACTATGCACAGAAAGGTACAGCAGGCAAAAACATACTCTTGGAAGTCTTCCTTCATTTCTATATATTCGTTGGTCTTGCGCATCTGGCGGGGTGTCGGCGATCTGTGAATTATACCAATGAATGATATACACAAAGAGACAAAGCAGACAAAAAACATACACTTTGACGTCCTTCTTCATTTGCATATGATCTTTGGGCGTATCGGGGCGTTGCGAGACGTTGTTAGCGGCCATCTGGCTGTTCTTGCACATTAGTTGCTTGCTGAGCTTTAAGTTCAGGCCCTCGGCCTTCTGGCGTAGAATGCGCTCGAAGGCCAGCTGCTCCCCAACGGTCTTGGCGAGCGAGAGCAGTTTGACTATAGTAGCCTTCTTGCCCAGGGGGAATTTTCCGTTTTCTGTGTCTTTGAGCCAGGTGGAATCGAACACCCCTTCCTGCTTCTGTTCGATTTCGGGCGGCAGCAGGCGTTCGTGAATGGTACGCTGCAATGCCTGGCTGATCCCCTCGTTGTTGCGTACATGGAACTCCGTGATGAAATTATTCAGATCCAGTAGGCTGAGTATATCATTGGCTCCAACATCTGTCAGGCCACAGCCCTGCATGTCGACGACTGCAGAGACAGAAAATCTTAGAGCGGCATTGCCAGTGCTTCTCCTACTTACCCTTTATCCAGGCATCCTCCTTCAGCACCTCGACGATGCTTGAGAGGCCTTTGTCCCCAATATTGGGATTGTTCGCGAGAAGAACCGTGCGCAAGCCCAACAGTGAGTTCATATCGGGAGTCTGGTAGCGCAACGATTTCTCCCACCCCTCCGTGAAACGTGAAATCTTTTGCACCTGTTTGGAAGGATATCAAGGATTCCCATTACCATGTAGCCGATGTACCTCCGATATGCATACCTTGATCATTTCGGCCACGTAAACGGCCCCTTTGCAGGTGATGTTGCACTCGGATAGATCGACTATTGTAATGCGGTTGAGGTACTTGGCTGTATTGCAAACCAGTTGGCACCCCTTGTCCCCGAGCGTGGACTTGCGGAAGCTCAATGTCTCCAGGCGGTCGTTGCCGGACAGCGACTAGAAGCAGAGAACCAATGATTGCTTGAATGGATGACTGGTCCTCGACTTACCTTGGCAATGCCCTCGATGTATTCTTCATAAAGGGGAAGACCCTCCAGCTTGACCACTGTGAGATTCTTGTTGCTCAAAACACAATTTGAGATGGCCTCGACGAGAGCACGGAAAATAAAGCGCGTAAATATCACGGGACGCTGTGTAAAGCGTCGGGCACGATTCTCCGTATCGATGGGATCAATTGTATCTGGATGGAAAAGCTTTCGCTTAGTTTCTGCGACCTGCAGTCCAACTCTGGCTACTCACTGTGCTGATAGGTGCGACGCATGCGCAACACTAAGGTCTTCAAAGTCAGGTCATGGTGAATGGCCTCGATGATTAGGAGCCAGTCGCTCACGGTCAGCTTGTCGGCGTATAAATCTAGAAGTGTGGTCTCATTTGACTTTTTGCGTATCTCAACCAGCGGTGTCAGGTTCTTATTGCGACATAGTTCCAGATAGCGCAAATGGAACGAGCGGCTCTTGCTTGATTTCTTTACGAGCTTCGGCACCGTCACCTTCTTTGCTAGCTCCCTGACCATACCATTCCGTATCCCTGACACACGGCCGAGAGACATGTTCTGTTGGTTTTAAGAGTTCGAGACTATTTTTAAAATATAATTCTAGCACGAGTACAAGTGGTGTAACGAACAATGGACTTAATATGCTAAGGCACCAATGTTTATCATATTTCATGTTTTTGTGCATGATGTTCTAAGCCTCCTAAGTCTTCACGCGTCAGAATCAAACGTCAAACGGTTTGTTTTTAACCCACCTAACCCAACATCAAAACGAGGGGGCACGTTGTGAGCTACTGCGGCGACCGCAACTCTACATTTATACCCGATATATACATAGTCAGTATGGCTACATTGAGCGACCCGGCTCGGCTATTGATGCTGATCAAGAATATATATACTTTATGGGGTCGGAAACCACAAACCTAATATACCCCAATACTCATTTTGAGTATCGGGTAAAAAAACCTCTATCTAAACCGGGGAACAGCTGGTTGTGTAAATTCCTTGTGTAGATACCATTCTTCGTATTTACATACAAGAAAAAACCGATACTCCGATATCTTATACCAGATTTCCGTTAAAATTTGGAAAATCATATTCCTCGATTTTGTATTACAAGCAGGCTACGACGCAGCAACAAACAGTAAAACAGGTTTACTGGATTAATTAAATGAATACATTTTCTACAAGGATTACACTATTAGCGATTACTACACATTTGCTACATACCAACTACATATTCAAGTAATTATCAACAGAGACACCTGGCGAGGAAATTTGTACTTTTGGTGCATGGTGTGTGGCCTAGAGAGGGGAATTTCACCAGGTGCACTAGCACAACAAGGTGAGTGTATTATTGCCCATTAAAATCAGATGTATTTGTTCACATTACCGATACAAATGGCGCAAAAGGTCTGTGACCAAGAGAGATCTGACGAACTTAATTAATTAATTAACGGACACTAACCATCCAGCATCATATGACAGACAACCCAAATGTTTATTGCTACATATGTTTGTCCTAACATGGCGGCCAACTATCGGACCGAGAGTACAAACGCGCCTCTGGTGGTGGTGTGCACCTGCGACCAGTGCTAACTAATTTTTTTTGGGCAGAGGGCGGCTGCTCTCTTCTTTCTTATGTTAATGCTGTGTAATGCTCTCATATTAATCATATTTTATTTAAAGTCGGTGTCTAATGTACTACTTCTTGTTAATATCTGCCGCCCTTCATCATCACTGTGATTATATACCAATTATAGACCCCCTTCAGCGTCCTTCAAGTGCGATTTGGGGCCACCCTGAAATATTTAAACCAACTGTGTTTTTAACGATGATTAGCCCTTCTGTTTCAGTGATCCATTTTCTTGTTTACGCTAAAGCCGAAAAGTTATATATAGAACACTCACCCACTTCTGTGGGAACGTAAACGGAATTTTTTGTTTGTAATTTTGAGCAGAGCTTGCCTATAAATACCGTCCGGCATATAGGGCTCCATTCATTTATGAATGCCCAGGCCCGCGATGAGACGGCGTCAATCGTGTGCCCGAGAGATTTCAAGGCTGTTGCCGGCCTTCCTGCTGGCCGTCCTGGGGTCCCTGTACCCTTTTGCGGCTGGCCAGAACTATTGTGACCCGGATCTATGCCCCAGCGGCAGACACGTGGCGTGCCAGAACAGCGGTGTAAGTTGTGTGCACATTATGACGGGCCCAGGTCCCATTATCGTCTAAATGTAATAACCCACCTGTGGCGGGATGGGTCCAGCGCTTTGCCAGCGGCTGCCGCGGCGAGTTCGTGCAGATAGATCCCTACATTCAGCTGATCCTGCAGCTGCACAACGAGCGCCGCAACCAGATCGCCGGCGGAGGAGTGAGCGGCTTCCCCAGCGCCGTTCAAATGGCCACCATGAGCTGGGACCCGGCCTTGGCCCAGTTGTCCGCCTACAATGTACTGCAGTGCCGCATGGCACACGACGAGTGCCGCAACACCAACACGTACCGCTACGCGGGCCAGAACCTCAGCATTCTCTTCACCCGCAGCGTAGATGTGGACGATTTCCTGCGCCAGCGCATTGCCTCCTGGTTCGATGAGAACCGATATGCAACCAGCGGCGACATGGAGAACTATCAAATGCGTGGCGGCCCGTGCGTATCCTTGTATCCCTGTATCCCTGTAATTTTCATGTATTCTATTTGTATCCCATTTCCGGTTACAGCGCCATCGGGCACTTCACAACGATGGTGAACGAGCGGAACAACCGCGTGGGATGTGCCGTTGCCCGATTCACGGACGCCAACAATGTGCAGGCCACGCTGCTGGCTTGCGATTATGCCGTTACAAATGTGCTCAACAACCCCGTCTACCGCGCTGGTGCCCCAGCCTCCGAGTGCACATCGGGTCGGAATCCCACCTATCCCAATCTCTGTGCCGTCAACGAGAACTACAACTACAACCAGTGGTCGGGCTGATGCCACCACCAGATGGAGGCACGTGACAAATTGTACACCAATACCTATTACAAGCTTCAAAGTTACAGAAACCATTTGTTTTGGGCCGCAGCTTCAAAAGGGAAAAGCTTTAAGTGAAGTACCGCTAGCTACAAAGAGAGAGAGGGAGACAGAGAGTGTGTCTGCAGCCCAGAGAGCAGGTCCAACTGGGGCGCTAGGTTACATCTAGGGAGAGCGTTTACCAAAGCTTCCCTATAGAATAGCTTTGAAAACACATCTTGTCCACATATTGTGCTCTGTATAGAAGAAAGCTTTCACTGGACATGGCAAGCGCTTTATTTCTGAAGAGCCGACGCAAAAAGAAAGCTCACTTCAGTCCTGAAGAAAGAACGAAGGAAGCACAAACAGTAGCGCTACAAGGACTCCACCCTGGACTACACTACGAGAGGTGACATTTATTCGGACACATGCCAAGTTTCGACAAGATTTGATAGACATTTTTAAGCCAATTTCTGTCCTACGTTGCAGGACGAACTCCGTGAAGATTGTCTCACAAAATATCTAAGCTGTGCGATAAATATTTAAGAAAGATCGGCATGTCACATACCGTGAGATTGAGGCATTAGTATGACGTGCATCTTGGATCCACATTGGATCCCACACAATTTAAAAATTGCCCAAGAGGAGGCTCGCTGGAGGTCCACTGGTTTGGTATGGTATGGTAAAAAAATACGATATTGGGGCTTCAAAAGCTGTATTTAATATCTTTTTACACAGGTTCCAAATCATGGATGTATGAATATGAAAACAGACGGAAAAGGAGGATATGGGTGGCCCCACAAGCCTTGTTGCATGGAGAATATTTGCAAAAACAAGGATATCATTTTCAACAACCAAAGTTCTTTAAGAACGGACTTTTCCTGCCCTTGGGTAAGATTTTGAGACAGAACTTCAGAAAGCTGTTATATTATTTTTTGAAACATACAACCAACGCCAGTTCCATTTAAATCCCCAATTCAAATCAACTTAATTTAATTGTTTGACAGCACCCTGATTTCAAAATAGTTACTCTTAGATTTAAATATTTAAGCTATTATATTTCCGCTGAGAGGATCTAAATATTCAATATATAAAAATCGCGGGCCAAGGTGTTTGTGGTTCAATACTTCGCTCATCCAAATTGATGATTAGTTGGACTAAACATTGGTTCTATTTAGTTCAAACTCGCGGGCCCTAAAACTTTTTGCAATTGATTGTTTCGTCGATGGAGAACAATATCTCCAACTTGAAACTGATTACCGACTCTTCGCCTACTTTGCCTGAGATTAACAAAAAAAACAATTGTTTTTGCAATAACCGATGGGTTTTCCCGAAATTCGTAAGACCCTTCACCTGGCAAATACGAGCCACCTCAACAAATCCGCCCAGAAGTTCTCAATTGATGTAGTCCCGTATGTACGAGTTTATAGAAGATATGGCCATTTTTCTCTCAGACTAAGGATGTTAGGAGATAGCTGTTTACATAAAAAAAAAAATATTTGTAAATGTCAGAATGCAATTCTTTTATGAAATTTCCACAAAAATGCCTTCAGAAAGTTTCAGAGGGGTTTGGTAAAGCGTGGATTCGGATAAAAATGAGAGCTTTTCTAGGACCGTTTAGTTTTAGAACGAGCGCGTCCAAGCATTCGATAAAACGATATTCAATGCATTTGGTTATAGGGGATGTTACTCGAATAATACCCACCCGACTGAATTTCCCCTCAATCTGGGGGGCTTTATTGCTGGAACGGGACATTATTCCGTTATAAAAAAAGTCTATGGCGTGCGATAAATGTACATTACCGTAAATCGGGGTATTTCACTTACCGTCTAGTTGTAATATCCTTGATACGTATTTGGTTCTTTACTATAAAGAAAAGAAAAAAACGGTATACATACGCGCTGCCATAAATGGGAAGTAAACACTTACCTGAAAAAACAATCGAACTGTAGATCGTAATTAATTGATTAACGAGAGCGATGATATGAATATTTGCTTCATATAATTCGTTTACACCTTCTAGCGCGTTTCTATTCCTATTCCGTTTAATTGCCTTACACTATTCCCGTAATGATATATTGTGAGTTCGAGTGGCGGTAACGATTTTATAAGACACAGATCGAAAACGATCGTTCGGCGGTGTATAAATGTTCGTAACACGAGAATGTTTTTTGTCCGGTATTATTGCTTAAAAGCAAGTATTCAGTAATAAATATATTTGCTACTAAGCTAGAAATATATTTCAAAGCCTCCTTCTACCTTTACAAAGAATGTTTTGAAATACAAATTTGGGAGATGTCCTAGAGTGCCTTGGACACCATATAGCACCATCTTTTGTCCGAGAATCCAAGAAGGCTATCATCCTCCAGCCAAAATTCACAAAATGGGAGCATCAAACGAGCCACCAAACGAAAAACCCAAAGCCCAAAGTATGCTTTCCTATTTAAGCCATTTGCTGGGATTTTTCGAGAAAAAAAATATCCCACACGTAGCCTGGACTTGGAATCTTTGAAGTACAAATCAAAGCACCTCTGACCAGTCACATTTTGGATAGCAGTATCACCCTTTTCATCCCCATCGTATCCCAAATAAAAATAAGAGACTTCTTTTTTGGCTCTGCCTTTGATACCCATGCGATACGAGTACAGCATATTTATAACGATTGATTTGAAAAAGTAGGTAATACGTGTAATACGTGTTTGGGGATATATCGTATGTAGAAATGAGAGAAAAGAATTCAGGAGTACTCCGTTGATTCGACGATGCGACCAACGATGGGGACATCCTCGGGCTTTGTATCGCAGTAGTTGGCCTTTTCGGTCAATACTTTCTGGACATAGTTGTGGCGGAACATTTGCCATTTGCGCGTCTTGAGGAAATCGTGGAAGAGCTCCTCTCTGGTGGGTAGATTCGATTGGATGTAGAGCAGCTGTCGCTGCCAGATGTTGCCCGGATTCTGGGCGGGCTCGAACAGCCAGAAGCGCGGTATAATCAGGCACTGGACGGTGGTGCGGGCCATTATGTTGCGATGGTGCATCTTCTCCCCCAGACCAAAGATGGCCCCGAACGTCAGCGATCCCACATCTATGAAATGGGTCTCATATTTTTCCCGTTTCTCGGGACTCGGGACTGGCGCTACTTCCGAATGCTTCGACTCCATGGAAGCGGTGAATATCTCCAGGCCCTCGGACTCGGACTCGGACTCGCTCTCCTCCACAACGGGGGGGCTTGGCGTACGATAGCTCTCATCGGATGACGAGTACTCGCTGTAGGCCGCTGGCGACTGCAGTTCCTGGCTCTCCCCAGCGTCCTCATCCATCACATAGTTCTCGTAGTCGTCGACGGGTCCCTTGTACACTGTGTATCGTGTTTTCCGAAAAACTTTCCGCTCTGGCTCTGGCGAAATAGGCACTGGCCTCCTCGCCATCAAGCCGCATGCCTCCTCTATTTCCTTCAGCCCCATTTTACGCATCTAAAGGAGGCAGAGGTGTAACTTTTCAAAGGTTTCCTTTGATTGTTAGATCCCCACACTTACAGCCTTCTTTTTATCCTTCTTTTCCTGCTCCGACGTGGATGTGGACAATAGATACTCAGTGAAATCAAAGTTCTTGGTGTGTTCCATATCCAAATTGCCAGAAGAAGCATTCCTCCGCACACTGTCCAGCTCGAATCTTTTCTCATTGCCCAAGAAGGACACCTAAATTGTAAATTGTATCGAAATGTCCAATCTGAAGAGATCTATAGTGCACATACCCTCATGTGGAGGCACTGCAGCACCACACACTCGCCGCTGAGGACAAAATAGACAACGCTGAGGGAGCCCAGATCCTCCTCGTAGATGGTGTCCAGCGGATCGAACTGCTGGATGGTCGCAAACTTGCAGGCACTCACAATCTGGGGGCGGAATAGAATGGCTATTATCGCTTGGGAAGGGCATTCCCGGTGGAAGACACCTGCCTGATCTGGAGTGAAGAACTTGAAGTAATCCAGGGCGCGTATTCCTTCTTTTTTCTCCTCCCAAAGTTTTTTCATATACGGCTGCACGAGGGTTGTGTAGTCGCTGTCGTAGAGGGCCAGTAGCTCGCAGTTCGCTGGAAAAAACAAAAAATAAGCCATCGTTATTCCTTCCTGAGGATGCCAGTGCTTTCACTCACTTGTGGCCGTGTATGTGTTCGTCCTGGGCGCATCCTCCATCACGTCGATGTCTCCAATGCAGTCACCTGGACCAAAAATAGCCTCCGATATTGATTCGTATTGCTTGGTAACCTATTGGATGGATGGCAAAAGGATTACCACTATAAGTTCTTCCCCGGTGACTGTACCTTGTTGAAGAACATCTTCGACACCTCCACTTCGCCGGTTATGATGAAATATATGGTTATGGGGAAATCGCCCTCCTTCATGACATGCCGTCCGGGAGTGAGCGCTATAAACTTCAGATACGGCACCAAACGTGCACGTAGTTTCTGCAAAAAACACACAAAAATAAAAGACGATGGTCGGAGGAGGTCCTGCACCACTCACCGGATTGAATCTGGAAAAGCAGGCAAGATTTGCCACAATTGTGCAGAGTTTTTTCCTCTCCTCGACGGTGCGCGTCGAGTGTGGCATGCGCAGCAGGGATTTCTCCTGAGAATCGAACCAAATCATAGGGACACAAGGACACTTTTGGGCAGGACACTCACCGCCATGGTCATCATGCCGATCTTGCGCTTCTGTCGCACCAGCATCGCCACATTCTTCTTGACATTCAGCGACAGGCCGGTCTCCTCGGTGGCATCGCTGAGCCACTGCATATTAAGGATGACACTGCGGACGAGCTGCTTGAATCGGGCCTTGGCCGCCTTCCGGACCGAGACATCGGGATTATCGCGCTGACGCTTCGACATTTCTTATTTGATATTTTTATAGGTTAAACAGTGTGTTTGGCGTTGTTTAATCGTTCAATAAGTGAGGTCCAGCCAATTGTCCTTGGCTAGATCGTAAGTATTTGGTCTCTGATCTGTTTGGATCTGTTCGTTTTTTTTTGGTGATGTTATATTGGCTTTGTATTCGTTTCTTCTACTTGTATGTGTAACAGATTTCAGACTCTGATAGATTTAAGAAAGAATATATGATTTACCTGAGATATTCCTGCATTTTTCAAGAATGGCATGGACGGTATGCGATTGTGCACAGGTCACGTCGTCCCCTGTGGAGAGGACCATCCAAGCTCTCTCGGCGCCCAAAGAGACAAGGGCTAGAAAGAGATAGCACACGTTTAACGTTATGACAAACGGATGGTCCTCGAAAGAGAGCAGATGTGGTGACGACGTCAGCTTATTCCTCGATTGTAACAAAGAGAGTAGAGAGCCAAGCCTCAGCGATCGACGCCTGACATTCGGTGCCGATTCTCTCCTCATTCAAGCTAAAACAGAGACTGTTTTTAATGAGATCCAATATTAAATTATGCAATAAATGCCACAACTGGTCTCAAATCAACGGCAGTGCTGTTTCCCACTCTGAAAGCTCTGGCAAAAGACTCAACGGGGAACAGGGAACAAAATAATTTCCCTGCTTCTGCACAAAGCTCAGCGGGGCTTTGGGACGCACGCTGTGGGGAAGTGTGGTGAGCAGCGCCCATGGAGTGAGTGCTCCATTGAGTGAGTCGTTTTGGGGGGTCGAGTGTGCAGAGCGGCATGCTTCCACTCACAGCGATTGGAGCTTGTTCATTTGGATGCTTGGCGACGACTCTGTAATTTTGCGAACGGTATAACTGTTTTCAAGGATAGGCGATGCCCACGTGCTGGCTGGGGAGCACGCAAGAATCAAAAACGCACAGCCATCGCACGGCGACGACTTCGTCAAGAGTCGCCAATCGTCAATCGTCAATCGTATCGTCCTTTCGTCCCGTCGCGGTTCGTTCTCGTGGTCGCTGTCACCCTTTAAGGCAGTTTCGGAATCAGAGCCATGGCGGAACCCCCCCACCCTCCCCCCGTTCGAGGTTCGCTGACGATGTGATTCTCTCTCACTGGGAAATTCTTGCCTAAAATGCACAAATCAACTAAATGAATCAACAAATGCCGACACCGACACCGATGATGCCCAAAGCCTGAGAACTAAACAGAGCCTGCACTGTGTTTTTTTTTTGGTGTGTTTTTTGTGTAATGACAAGCCAAGTGCCAGTGCTGTGAGCCTGGAGCAAGGATAAACCAAAGTACGCGCTTTTCTAATCGCTTTAGCCCTTGGGCCCCCAGCCATCCTGTGCCCGGAATGGAATATATTCGAACGAGTGTCTAAGTACTTGTAAAAGTCGCCTTCGCAAGGGGTAAGTGGAGACAGCGGGTGGAGCGGATGTCGTACTCGTAATATTCGTCATACATTTAAGACCTTCCCCTTTGTACATGTGTGGCCCCCCTCCCCCTGGGACCAAGGAAGACCTAATCCCAGGGCGTGATTCGATTCGAAGTTGGAGTGTTTTTTTTTTCCCCCCCATGAAATGATTAATTTGTTTGCCATTTCTTTGGCTTTGGAAAAAGGGAAAATCCATCCGATACAAGCACTTTCTGGTCCTATGTATATCCTGTCCCCAAATGATTTGCACAAATGTTTTGGGATTAGGGAAAACTTTTTCCATTTTGCATTTTCCATTTTGCATTTCCTGCTTAGCATAAAGCAGCCATTGAAAAAGTTTATTTGCCAAATAATCTAATTTGACCACACAACGAACACCGAAAGTGTCACAGACACCTGAGGATATTTGTGCAGGTTTTGGCACCTAATAAATTCAACATTTGCTACGAGCATGTGGCACGGTGTGCCCTGTGTGGCATGAACAGGAACGAACAGATGCATATGGAATGGACCCTCAAGAGTCTGCTAGCCAAAGAACAGATCTATTGAACTTCAATAAATGCTTAATTGTTTGCTGAATAAATTTCATTGCTTGTGGGCCATAAATTATGAATTAGAGTTCCTACAAAAAGTTCTTCCATGCCACAAAAAATGGGTCAAGGAAAATGGTATATTTTCCGATTAAACAACGCCCCAAAAATGCAAAAAAACTCCAAAGACAAGACAGATTTCTCATTCAAAAATGAGTATTAATTTGCAAAAAATCTGTTGTTCCT